TGTGTATTTGTGAATGTAAGACCATATGTCATTTATATACAGCCAACTCAACAACTACTTGTTGCTATATGCATAATCCTGAACTGTGAAACTAGTCTACCACATGTATTCCTTGCCACCATATATAGCCATAAGTGTTTTTTGAACTGAAAGGTCTAAGCCTCACTGAGTGCAAATCAGGAATGCTTGTGGAAATAAATAAGCTTCCCCACATTCAAGCAGAGGAACTCACATCCACAAGCATTTCCTGTGTATAGGATTCTTTTGGTCAGAAGTGTAAATAGAGCGTCATCCATCTGAAGGTTTGTAGAGAGAAAGAGACTACATCTCTCAATCTGCTGCCTCCATCTGTTCTTTTCTTCACAGATGGGCTCCTTAGATGGAGCAGTCTGCAGGACACTGCTGGATCGCAGCCTTGAATTTGCCATCCATGATCATTATGAAACACTGCTATCTCAGCGGTGATCTTTAATATTATGAAAAGAATGTTCTTTCATATTCAGCAGAATTTCTTGATGACATCATTGTAACTTATATACTGGATGAATTACATGACTTTTAAGTATGACCTTTACTGATGCCACTTTATAAGTGAGTGGTGGGGGTTGTTTAATGTTTATTTAGCTATTTTACTTTTTCTTACAATAAGCACTGTCAAATGAATACCAAAATACATATCTAATTGTTTCTTTATATTGCTAAAGATAATTGTGCCCTCTAGTGTTATAATGTAGTTGCAATACTCGTCTCAATTAACACACATAGATGACATTTTAAAGGAATAGTTGAACCAAAAGTGAAAATTTTCTTCAAATGTACTCGCCCTCAGGCCATCCGTGATGCAGATGACTTTATTTCATCATCAGTACAGATTTGGAGATATGTAGCATTTCATCTCTTGTTCACCAATGGATCCTCTGCAGTGAATGGGTGCCGTCAGAATGAGTCCAAACAGCTGATAAAAGCATCACAATACTCCACAAGTAACGTAAGTAATCCACAAGCTGTGTGTTTGTAATTAACAAATCTATCATTAAGGCATATTTTTATTAAGTCTGCTCTTTTCCCAATAAAAAGTTATGTTGTCTGAATTACACTCTTAAAAATAAAGGTGCTTCAAAAGGTTCTTCAAGCGATGCCATAGAAGAACCATTTTAAGTTCCACAAAGAACCATTTAGTCAAAGGTTCTTTAAAGAACCATCTCTTTCTTACCTTTTTGTAATCTGAAGAACCTTCTTTCGCCACAAAGAACCTTTTGTCAAACAGAAAGGTTCTTTAGATGTTAAAAGTTCTTTATGGAACCATTTAGACAAAAAGGTTCTTCTATGGCATCGTGAAGCACCTTTATTTTTAAGAGTGTAGGAGAGAAATATGCACAGAACACACACTGTTTACAAGTCCAGAAGAGTTCTAAAAAATATGTCTTATGAATTTTGATGTGAGCAGACAACAGGGGTAGACTTTTTTCACTGGAGGAAGCAATATTATGAATTATGGAATCATACGAGTTAAAATGCCTTAATATTCTTCAGCTCCACAAGATGTTAAATCATAGACTGGAGTCGTGTGAATTACTTGTGATTATTGTGATGCTTTTATCAGCTGTTTGGCACCCATTCACTGCAGAGCATCTGTGTAATGCTGAATAATTTATTTTTGCAAACTTTCATTCATTTTTGCGTGAACTTTTCCTTTAAGATACCAGTCTATGTTTTATCAACACATTTTCATTTCCATCTCTGCAAAGATCCAGTTATGTAATACAGATGGATTGCTAAATGTCTAACTGCTGGATATATATATACTGTATATATTTTTAAGATGTTTTGGTAACCACAAAAACAGTATCACAGAAGGCAAATGTTGCTTCAACAGCTTGAAGCTGATGGACCACAGAGCTGGATGTGAATTTTAATGACAACATTCTCAGTTTGTGTTCTGTCCTTCTCAAGCATTATATTAAAATAAACATGAGAAGAAAGATTATCTTCCTAAATGTTTAAAGTGTAAAAAAATTCACACCCGAGAGCGGATCGCCGCCTCATTTTCATTTATTTTGACTGGAAATAGAGCACACTTTCTGTGGCCGCAAGTGTTCTACTGTGAGAGGTGCCAAATGAAATCATATTGACTATAAAGCAGAATTTGACAAACAGCAGTCGCCTAATTAAAAAAACTAAAACATATCTCTGTCACACAAACACAAACGTATTGTTTGGCTGACTTGAGGCAATTACTCACTTCTTTTTTTGTTTACTGAATATGACACAAACCAACATTGAATCAGATCCACAAACAGTTGTTTCAGACCACAAGCAAGTAAAATGTAAAATGCTTTTGACACACTGCCTTGCAATGATTTCAAAATAATTTAAAGGATCATGAAATCAGTAGCCTACCTTTCAGTTTGATATATTTTCAGTTTGATATATTTAAGGGCAATACTAAAAGTAATAAGAAGATTGTAGGTACATTTTTATGATTTTAAACATTGTCAACTTATTAGAATAATAATAATAATAGTGGTAATAGTAGTTGTTTACAGTAAAATATCATGGTATGGTGTAACATATTTAGTGATATATATATATATATATATAAAAAGTGATAAAATGGGAAGAAACTTTTATTTTCATTCATTCATTCATCCACAAGGCTGAGAATACAACTTACTTTTTAATAATACATGTACATGTCAGCATAATTTATATATACAGATACATTTATATAGCCCGCTAATGTTTATAATTTTTTTCCAAACATATTTTATACGTTATGTTATCTGGTGGTTATCACAACAAACCATTTACCCTGAATACAGTCATGAAGAGGTCAATGAGCCATGGTTCAAAGCTTGGATCCCATTTGAGACAGAACTGACAAGGCCTGATATATCAGACAGGGGTCAAATCAAGAAAGAATGAAAAGAAGCCATACTGCAGAAGCATCATCACCCTTGTTTCATGTGCAATCACGTCTCCAGGCAGCATTAAATCATACCATTTCAAACCGCCGGCATCAAAAGAGTTTTAATCTGTGTGTTTATTATATATTTTCACTCCTAGCATAAACCAAACTCAGTTGTCCAAATACGCTCTCAACACTGAGGGAGGGGTGGGGCTCTGATGAAGATCGATGGTCTCTCTGGGAGGAACATTAGCTGCTAATCAAGTTATGTTTCCTGGCGCTCCGTTTTAAACATAGTTATTTGCATGCGAAAAGCACAAGATCCATGTTTGCTATCAGGCCTGCTTATGAAACACACTCAGTGCACAAAGTCAGTACTGCCCATCGAGATAGCAATGTTAGGAGACACCTTCATGCATTCACTAATCTCTGTTTAATACGAAAAACAGATACTTTCACTACCAACCAAACTTCACAACACTGCACAGTTTAGTCAAGTCAAATATAGCAAATTTAAAAGCAATTCAAGATGACCCAAAATGTTGCAAAATGCAAGAAAATCTGAAAATAAAGCAATAGTAACTTATTATTAGCATTAGTTTTTTTAATTATTAATAATGATAATAATAATAATAATTAATTAATTATAATTTAAGACATTATAAATAAGAATAACACCAGTTAAATGAAAGAAAAACAACAAAAAACCTTTAGGCCTAAAAATTATATTGAGTTTAAGGCCTAAACATAATATTTCTCACTCCAATCTTTTGCCAATCACCACATCCACACCACATGCAAGTAATCTTAACTTGAGGTAAACCAGGCTACCTTTGATTCCATATGTACTTTTTTTTTTTTACCACAAGTGCTCTTTTTATCATAATGTAAATATTTTAGGCTTATTTTAGGAATCTGAAGTCTATTTGATTTTTATGCCCTCATCCAGCAGAGATTCAGCAGTACACTAAATGCAAGCCTGGTGAGACAAACTTGATGCAGGAGTGATCCTCATATCAACCAAATTTGCAAATGACACATGAAAAACACAGATGGACACCCGCTGCTTTCGAGTCAAATGTAAAATTAGCTCTTTGATTTGGAATGACATCATGAAGTATTCGCTGATGATTGTGTTTATATCTTTTCAGATGCATGACTGAGAAGCTGTAATAGGAGGTTAGCACAATAAATATCTCTCTCACCCGCACATATGGTCGCACACAGTAATTGACATGATTACTCATGTGACTCATACCGTGAAAATACAATTTTTGAGGGAATAACAAAGAGTCATTTAGAAATAAACTTTCAAGTGTTGTTCTATGCGCCAAACTAAATATTACACATATAACCATCATCTCAGTGGATTATGCACCAGCTGGCTTGGACATGGTAATTTTCCTCCAGTTTAGCTCACATAAACCAAATAATTTAAATTGACTAACAGCTGCTGAATGAACACTTTTTATCTCAAAATATAAAAAAGTTTAATACAATTTAGTGTAGGCTATTCTCATTTTATTTTTTGTAGCCTAATGTGTTTTCGTAAAGTTATAATTTTGTTGCAGTGGTTACTATAAACTATTTTCTTAGCGTGCATTTTGGTGAATTGCATTAAAACAGAATAAAGTCATAATAATCAAATTAAACATCAAAATGATTAATTAAAAAAAACAAATTTCTTGCAAAAGTTTGGTGTTTTCCGAGAAACTTTGCGTACAAAACTTTTGCTGGTAATAGAAATAATATGCCATTGGTGGAAAGCTTTCAATACTTTGAAATATAAAAGAGTAAATGCAAAAGTAAAAAGACACAACGTTTCTTGGGGAGCACAAAACTTTTGTAAGGGAACACCAACATTTTGAAATATAAAATATCACATCCTCTCATCTCATATTTTTTTTCCATCACCAGGTCCCCCTAGGGGCTCCATGTAAATTAATTAAATTACCCATGGACAGATTAAGAGAGAGACGAAAAGAAAAAGGAGTCAAAAAAAGACCAAGAGACAGAAAGAAAGAAAGTGTAGAAGGATGTGATCGATCACTAACTGTTCAAGATAAGGAGAGTTTGTCCATTGTTTCTTGAATGGATATGCTGATGTGAATGGAAGAGTTTCGATGGTTTTGGATATTCACTCTGCAGCCATCTGCTCAATGTGGTCACACAGCAGCTTGTATTGCTCTGAAAAAAGGATAATAAAAAGTGTGAATCATATTTACACATTCACTATTGTTTAAATGTTTTTTTTGAAAGAATACTTTTACTTAGCAGTGATGTATTAAACTGAACAAAAGTGACAGTAAAGACATTTATAAATAACAAAAGATTTCTGTATCAAGTAATTCTGTTCTTTTATTCATCAAAATGCATCAGTTTCCACTAAAATATTAAGTAGCACAACTGTTTTTAAGACTGATAACAATAAAAAAAATGTTGATGGTATTTATAACAATAAATGTTTTTTTGGAACGGTACTGTAATTAATGTCACAAACCTATAAATGTAATTCTTTTTTTGCAAATTTGGAACAGAGAGCTGGAAAGTGACATTACCTTCATTCAGATTTCCAATGACTGCCTGTTTCTTCAGGAAGTCATTGCAGAGTTTCTTGCTCAATCCAAAAGCCACCATATTATGGGTGAATGTTCTGGATAAACAGAAGCAATTATTTATGAGCATATGAGCATACAAAACGATGCCCAAAAACATGCAATGAACATTGTTTTTGTCAGTATTGTGTAAAATTAGACTAATGCCATGCAACCTACCCCAGCTGACCAAAAGTGATGTTCTCATTAAATCTGGAGCTATCATCTTTCTCTTCCTGGGTCATATGACACCACTTTTCTCTGAAGGTACAAAAACAAGGGGGTCAAGGTCAGAGGTCACTGATATTTCTCTCATCAAGCATGAGAGGCCATCAGAGACCATCAACACAACATCTTTCAAAATGTTAAAGTTCACTCAGAAACTTTTAAACACATCACAATAAATACTGGAAGGTTAGAGAGTTAAAAGATGTAAAAACAAAACAAAAAAAAAACAATCTTACAAAATAACAAATGTGACCCTGGACCACAAAACCAGTCATAAGGGTACATTTTTTGAAATTGAGATTTATACATCATCTGAAAGCTGAATAAATAAGCTTTCAATTGATGTATGGTTTGTTATGATAGGTCAATATTTGGCCGAAATACAACTATTTGAAAAATCTGGAATCTGAGGGTGCCAAAAAATCGAAATACTGACAAAATCACCTTTAAAGTGATCCAAATTAAGTTCTTAGCAATGCATATTACTAATCAAAAATTCAGTTTTAAAATATTTACAGTAGGACATTTACAAAATATTTTTATGGAACATGATCTTTACTTAATATCCTAATGATTTTTGGCATAAAAGAAAAATCTATAATTGTGACTCATACAATGTGTTTTTGGCTATTGCTACAAATATACGCCAGCGACTAAAGACTGGTTTTGTGGTCCAGGGTCACAAATGTGTATTAGCCATTCATTAGTGCTCATGCAAAATCCAACAAACATTTTAGAATAAGCTTTAGTGAGCAGTCAGCTGTAGCCATGATTCACAATGAATCAAAACAAAAACGAGACAAAATTTAAATAATAAAAAGCATATGAGCAACACGGAACATTGGCATAATTCAGCTCACAAAACAGGAAAAAATGCTCAGGCAACAAATTAATGCATTTTTCTATGTGCAAAATGATCCTTTCCTAAAAAACAAAATAAGGTCTTACTAGAAAAATAAACTATTTTTTGCCCCATCTTACACTAATACACAACTGTATTCTGGTCCAATGCATTTTTTATAGGGATGCACCGATATGAAAATTTTGGCCGATACCGATAATCCTTTATTTTTGAAAGCCGATAACCGATATGTTGGCCGATAAATCTATATCCAAATTTTTATATACTTTTTGAGAGCCTGATTACAAAAAAGGTCTCATCATTAAAAACCACATCCCGAACACTTCAACATAAGCAGCCTAGTTTGAACGGTGTATGTTTTAAAAATAATTTTACTCTCCCATTACCAAATTTAGTCATAAAAAAGTCTTACAAATAAAATAATGCATAAATAATGCAAACAAGTCATTGGACATCATTACACGTGTAAAGAATCAAAATGAATGCGCCATAGATCAATAAAACGGAATAGCCTCTGCACGGACAATAATTAAATGATTTTAATTACTAAACCATATTGCTGATGAAAATAATAATAGAAAAATACAAGTGGTTGTTATTATTAATAATGTATCAATGATTTTGAAAAAGTAACAAATTAATACCACTGTTTTAAACAGCAGCCGTTTGAGCTGCGCGTGCTGAAGCTGAAGAGCTGAATGAACACGGTAAACTGAAGCGTTTTGCTGGCAGCTTATTTAACTCAAGGAAATGCATCCTGAGATTAATATTAAAACAACATAAACATAATATTACAACTTATATATGAAATGACAAATGACGCAGTTATTGCATGCTATAGTCAGAATGTGTGATCCTGTTGTGGATGCGCTCTTCCCATAACAACGCGCTGAAACACGGCAACTAAACCCAAAGAATTCACAACGTTTTATTATAATAATATTCTCATTAGAATGTTATATACACGACATTCCCAATCATAGTTATTAATGTTGTGCACTGCTGTTTGGGCTGCGTGTGCTGAGCTAAAGATGATCACCGGTAAACTGAAGCGCTCTTTTAACTTAACCAAACGCATTCTATATGAGATAAATCAGATATACATCAAATAAACACAATATTACAACGTACAATTGCACAAAAGGCTGCAAATGAACAGCGCGCATCTGAAGTGTCTCTGAAGGAAATAATGCATTATTTATCGGCTTTAAGATATCGGCCAAATTTTCTTATTGGGCCGATACCGATAACAGAAAAAATGAGCATTTATCGGCCGATACCGATATGGTGGCCGATATATCGTGCATCCCTAATTTTTTATGTTAGTTTTTAGACAGTTTTATTGCCTACCAGGTGAAATTGTCTGAACATTTAGCAAAGTGATAGTAAAAGTCTCTTCTAGAAGAGATTTGATGATTTAATGAATCCTTTATGTCTGTAGCACAAACAGTGTGGCACAAACAGAATTGCATGTCAAAGTTTAATACTTACGGCTGGGGATTTGAAAGAACCCCTAATGGCAAGTATGAGCACTAGTAATAGTTATGCCTGCCACCTCTAATAGTTCACGCTGGTTAGCAGTTGACATAGCAATGAATAGGCAATTGGATACAATACATTCTGACTGCATGCAATGATACAGCAAATAATGCAGGAAAAGTCAAAGAGTGAATACTGTGAGCACACTGCCCTCTTCTCATTTTGTATAATGTAGATCAGTGGTTCCCAACTGGTTCCAGAACACATTTTTTTACACTGACCCCAGAACAGTGCCAAAATTGTTTATCGTACAAAAGTAAACAAAAATGTCCTCGGTTAAACATTGAAATGTATTACTATTATGGTTGTCAATAATGAGGGCATGTCATGCAAACTGTCCATGCTGGCCAGATGAATTTGATATACCATGCCAAAATACTGTGTTTGATTGGATGCAAGGCTTTTGAAAATCAACAACAAAAGCATGTTCCCTTTCTGTTTTAAAGTTAATAAGCCTATTTATTTTACTATACTACCTGCATGGGTGAATGGTTGTTTTTTATTTATTAATGTTTCCCCTGCTGTCAGAATAGATATGCTACTCACTTTTATAGCACAACTATTAGTATTTTAATATATATGAATTATTTTAGCTGTTTTTAAGGTCCACAATTTTAACAAAGTTAAAGTTGTGCAATGTAGATAGCGTGATAAAAAAAAGACAAAGCATTATGCCTAAGGCAAATGTGACCAACATGAGTCGGTGCATTTTTTGGAGGACCCAGTTTCCTTTGAGTGCAGATGAAAATGTTATCAGAACGTTACACAACTTCCTGACTGGATCCTGTGCTGAAATATATAAATATATAGAGGGTTTTACAGGGGTTCTCACTTTTTTGACCTGAGAATTTTCCAGTCAGTGAATTGCATTAAAAATGATTGCATTTAAATTTCTAGCTAGGAAAAAAATTTGTATATATAATATATAATTTTAAAAATTATAATTAATCCTTTTATTTGAAAAAAGCAACAAAGACTATATTTTAGAGTGGAGCTAGGGAAAAAAATTATATATATATTTTAAATAGTTGTGCTTTATATATATATATATATATATATATAACGCACATCTATAAAAAATATATATATATTTTTTATAGATGTGCGTTATATATATATATATATATATATATATATATATATATATATATATATATATATATATATATATATAATTTAATTTTTTTAAAATAAGTTTTAAACAATTTTAAAGTGGCTGTAAAAACAAAAAAAACTCAAATTAATTTTAGACAATTTTTAAAGTATTTTAATAAATACTTATATAAATATAAAGTGACATGACATGTGGCCAAGTATGGTGACCCATACTAGGAATTAGTGCTCTGCATTTATCCCATCCTAAGCGCACACACACAGCAGTGAACACACACACACTGTGAACACACACCCAGAGCAGTGGGCAGCCATTTATGCTGCGGCGCCCGGGGAGCAGTTGGGGATTCGGTGCCTTGCTCAAGGGCACCTCAGTCGTGGTATTGAAGGTGGGAGAGAGCGCTGTACATTCACTCCCCCCACTTACAATCCCTGCCGGTACGAGACTCGAACCCGCAACCTTTGAGTTACGAGTCAGACTCTCTAACCATTAGGCCACGACTATATATGCATACTTCCGAACTTTTTTTCTATTAATCAAAGAATCCTGAAAATAATATATCAAGGTTTTCACTAAAATTTTAAGCAGCAAAACCATTTTCATTGATAATAAGAATTAAGAATAATTAATAATGACTGTTGAAAATAAAGCTTTACCATCACAGGAATACATGACATTTTATTACAGAAAAAAAGTTATTTTAAATTGTAATAATATTTCACAAATTACTGTTTTTACAGTTTTTTCAATCAAATAAATGCAGCCTGAGTGAGTATAAGAGACATTTAAAAATTTGACGAGTGTATATTTTGAGATTTTATTATTATATTTCTTATTCATTTTAATTATTTTTCAAGTCTGGAAATCACAAAAATTCCCTGATATTTCCAAGTTTTCTGTGCAGAGTGTGAGTAAAGGGTAGCCTAATTCTGTCTGAGTTTCATCTTTTTCCTAAACTCCCTTCACTTTCCCCAAAATTGATCCTGTGCTGGATAACCAATCTAACTTTCCCCTCTCCATTTTAATCCTCCTTTTCTTTGCCTTTCCTATCTCTATCTGGCAATGTCCAGGGCAGCAGACGGAATGAAGGACAGACCTTTCATCTTTCTCTTCCTCAGCCGTCCGCCTGTGTGAGGCAGCGAGGCACAGGGAGATAAAGGGTTAAAGTCACATGCAGAGAGAGAGAGAAAGAGCCACAGAGAGAAAGAAAGGAAAGAGAGGATGATGAGCAGAGGAGCAGTGTGGAAGAGTAACCATAAGAGAACAGAGAAAGGCTGCAGGACTCATCCAGACTGCAAATACACAGTAAGACTGTCATATGCACCGGACACACAGTCACGCACCTCGGCTGAAACTTCTGGGTAGTTTACTTCAACATCACTAACAATCTATCAAACACAAAGTAAACTCTCGATCTCTCCCTCTGGCTTTAACAGACACACAAACAAACACGCAGTCTAAACAAACACGCAATCTAACATGTGCATTAGGTGCCGTGCGAAGTCTGTTTTGTTTAATAGCACGATATATCAGGAGAAAGAGAAAAGAAGCGCTCTATAAAAAGTCATAATAATTACAGAGTATACTGTGAAAAACCCTGCAATCTCTCACCTCGTGGTGGGGGATCTTTTATTTCTCTCACAGTGGACGGCATCGAAAAATGCTGCGTTCCAAAACCTCAAAGTGTGCCTTTTAAAGAAGACAAAGAGAAACAGATGCAACCAAAGTAACATCAGCATCTATATGTCGCAAATGATTGGACATAGTGCCTGAACAATGCTAAAACTGCTTTGGAGTTCTTTCAAAATGTCAACAGACAAGTAGATTCATGTGGATTAAACCCACCAGGCCTCCTTTCTTGCTTCAGTTTGTCTTATTGCAAATATATTTGGTTTTGTTTTACAAAAAATTACTTTCTGTGGTAATCTGGCAACATTACTGTAATGCAAAAAATAGTGATATATTATTTATATAGTGTAAAATATTTTAATATTATGGTACTATTTGTTTTAGTAAATTTAATTAATGCTCCCACAAAAACCAATGTTTCCATAACACTATTACAACTCTTTTCAAAATTGATAATAAAAAGAAAGTTTCTTGAGCAGCAAATCAGCATATTAGAATGATTTCTGAAGGATCATGTGACACTGAAGACTGGAGTAATAAACACTGAATAATGGCTAGCTTTTCCATCACAGAAATTAATTATATTATAAAATATATTGCATTGCCATAAATTAGGACCATTTTAAAAATCTACAATTAATAATAATTACAAAAAAAGTATTTAAACGTACGGTCATATCTTCATGACAATTAACTTTTTTTCTACCTATATTTCTATTATCATTTTATTTTTATATATATATATATATATAAAATTGTATATATATAAAACATAGATATTATTTAAATTGTAAAATATTTAAATAGTATGGTATTATTTATTGTAGTAAATGTAACTAAATTCACATAAAAAAATAAAATAAAATAATAATAATAATTCAAAATCCAATTACATTTTTTATTCCGGCATGAAATATGTTTAACCCAATGTGACAGCTGTTTAAAACAACTTGAGACACTGACAGGATACCACATATGCGGTCCATAAACAATGTAAATAACATGAATGTTTAATTAAAATGCTGATTATATGAAAGGATACTTTTCAGAAACAACTTCTTAAACTGTTCATTTGAATAATTATATAGGGAAAAAAAGATTACTGACAACCTACCAAATGGGCTGCTGTTTTAGCTGTGTGTACAGGTAGATTTTCTCCTCTTCTTTTCTATCCGGGTAGAGAGGGGGGGAAACTACAGGGTATGCAAACAGAGATAAGCACAGTTAATAACTCAAACACGTCTACAGAGACAATCTCTGTGGGTTAAGGGTTTTGCTCAACAGCATAGTGGTGAAAGCTAATGAATGGTTTGGATAACCAACCCAGATTCTTAACCACTAAGTCACATCACCAATATATATATATATATAGAGAAAACCCTATGTGAGACATCTAAAAACTGGTGAAGACATGACAAGAGATTACTACAGTTGAGAAAAGACCTGATTAAAAACACAGTGGTGGTACATCGTGAACTACCTGGAGTTTTGGTTTTCTGTTCAGCAGGTTTGTCCGTGTCTCTGAGGAAGACAGAATGAGAACGAAAGAGTTTGTGAGTAGCAGAAGCGTCACTAATTAAAAGAGTGAATAATAATGATGACAAAAGATCACCCACTCATTCTTTCGGCCCAAGGGCCCTCTCAATTTGCTCTCCAGACCCCCAAAGAATCCTTTAACTTCAGTCTTAGCGGAGGTGTTTTTGAGCAGTCGCTCTGCAATATCTTTCTTCCCAGAGAGCCAGACCTTTCCACTGCGCAGGTACGAGTCGATCCCCCCGCTGGGCCTCTCTAGCAGCTCTGTGGGAGATAGCTGGGACTTACCTGTCACACACACGCATATATTCATTAGAAGTTCAAATGAATTTAATTAAAAATCATACTAGGCAGTCACACACTGTGTATATTAGGAGTGGGCACTGGGCACAATTAGATTTCAATTTAAAGAGTTAAGATTTGACTCCAAAACGATTCTTAACATGACAACAAAAGGGTTCCAAATCATTAGCAGTGATGCACCACATGATACATAATGCATCTTTGTATACTATTCAATAAGAAAAATTGGTCACACTTTATTTTAAGATCTCGCTATTAACAAACCATTAACTACAACTTTTGCCTCAATAAACTCCTAATTTGCTGCTTATAAATATTTAGTAAGGTAGCTGTTAAGTTTAGGTATTGGGTAGGATTAGGGATGTAGAATATGGTCATGCTGCAGAATATGTGCTTTATAAGTACTAATAAACAGCCAATATGTTAATAATAGGCATGCTAATAAACAACTAGTTAATAGTGAGAATTGGTCCTTATACTAAAGTGTTACTGAAAAATTAATAAACAATTGCATTTCTTGGTGAATTTATTCAGTGAATCACACTACCGTTCAAAATTTGCAGTGTGAGATTTTAAAATATTTTTGAAAGAAGACATATATGCTAATCAAGGCTGCAATTACTTGAACAAAAATACAGTAAAAACAGTAATATGGTGAAATATTTTTACAAAAATTTTTTTTAAATGCAATTTATTGGAAAAGTTGAATTTTCTTTAAAAGAACTATTTAAATATAAATATTTTGTAATACTTAGTATATGTCTTTACTGTCACCTTTGAACAATTAAATGTATCCTTGATGAATAATCGTTTTTTACCCCAAACTTATGAATGGTAGTGTATATGTATCTTTTCCCACGTCACTAGATTTTATACCAAGTCATATAAACCAACCTCCCTTGAAATCACATTAAAATAGCACTGTTCATTTTTTTCAAAACAATAAGAGGCAGTGCCAGTAATGACTGAGTCATAGGCTGTAACAGGAAGTGAGAGGAGGTCTGGGCGTTTCTTTAACAGATTCTAACATTCTACACAACTGTACAGTATGTTTGCTTAATATTAACGGTGAACTCTCTTACCCATGTAGTAATATGTGAAGCACATGGTCATGAGGTGTTTGGCTGGGCCATAATCATCCACCTGGTGACATCTGCCAATCAATCAAATATTGTGAGTCTCACACTTGCCACACAATGACTTACCAAGAGTTCTACAGAAAATTGGTAACTTAGCTCTTAACAGTTTGGTTTGGCTTCCATGTAATGTCAAGCATTCTTCTGAGATATTATCACTGATGTACTTACTCAAATAAAACAACAGCGAAGGACTGCACCAGCCTGTAGAACGTCTGTTCACTCACACATTTGGAGTGGCAGCGCTGCAAACACAAGGCATGGCTATCATCACAACTGTGTTTGTTTATGCACATTCTATTGCATGAGTTCTCTTATCTTTGAGAAAGACTTGAGAATGCGAATGGTACATTTAGTCTAAATAGACTGTGCTTGATGCTTATAGCAATGTGCATTTTACTTATTTATTGTACTTATTTTTATGTTATGGCAGACAACCAAGATATGGCAATTATTAAAATAACAGAAAAAATCTAGACTAAATAAATAAATAAAAAAAACACACAAAAAAAAAACAATGATTTTAAAAGCATCTCAACATTATAATGTACAGTATGAAAAATGGATAATCATTTTAAGATTTCCTAAAGATTACATTTAACAGTGTTATTAAATATGATTTTCTTTAATATTGGCAAGCATTTTGGTAATTTTGACTGCCAAGTAGTCAAACAATTTTCAACACATTTTTCAAACAATGGGTGTGTTGTTCGCTACATTATTTTGTTTTGCTTCATAAAATCCTATGCTGCAAAAACTATTGCTAAATACGTTTGCAGTGCATTTGCAATTTTTTTTGCTATATTTAGTATGTGACAGGAGAAATAGGCTTTACTGCTGCTTTTCACACGCACGGTGTGAACACTCTAACCTGTTAAATAGAGGTGAAGAAATGTATATGACTGTTCTCACAGTGTTGTTTTAGTGTTACTTATATGCTATTACAGTATTTATTAATATTTTGAATTCGCTTATATTTGTATATTTTAAATGTTCGTATTTTGTCATTTTTTTACGTTTGTAGTTTTTATTTCAGTTTTAGTCACTTGAGTACTTCAAGAAACACAATCAACAAAGGCAATCGTTCTCATTTTCAATTACGTTATAAAAAATATATATATTTATATTTTATTTCAATTATCAAAAATAATTTTTAATAGTACTAGTTTTAGTTAACGATAGCGACACTGTTTACACACCACCATCACCCAAAATGACCATCACAATAATAACTCACACAATTAAAAATCAAATGTTTTGGAATCGGAATAGAGCGATGCAGTGATTGTGTTTTCATGATTGCTCAGCATTGCTGCTTTCATACCTGTGCACTGACATATTTGGCAAACCAGTCCCTGCCTTTGCCGTTCTCTCCAGTGCACAGCTCTCCAAAGCGAGCCTTCTCCTCTTGATCAAAGTCCTCCCTGAGAGAGGAAAAGAGAATTAAAGGAACCAGGAGTAGTAGCAGGAAGAGAAAGACAAAGAGGAAGGGATAGGGAGAGTGAGAGAGTACTTCAAACAACAGGAACAAATGCAAACATTCACATCAGTTGACATGTGACTAATTCTGTGAGAAGTTTCTTCCTCATTCAAAAGAATAGTTCACCTAAAAAAAGAAAGAAAATTGTCATCGTTTACTCGTTTCAACCCCCTATGACTTTCTTACTTCCATGGAGAACAAAAGTATATTTAAATACCCCAAAAGTACACAGTCACAAAGGGTTGTCAAGCTCCAGCAAGGACAAAAAAAGTCCCATAAAAGCAGTCTATATGACTCATACACTATATTCTAATGCTTCTGATGCTATACAATAGCTCTGACTAAGGAACAGACTGTAATTTAAGTGCATCTTATCAGTAGCATTGCATCTGATCTTGTGTGAATGAGATTTGTGAGCTATGGCGGAAATTGTCAAAAGATAAAAACTTACATTTGCTCTGTTTGTTCCTCAAACAAAATTATCATATGGCTTCAGAAGACTTGGAATAGCACACAAGTTACTTTTATGGTGTTTTTTTGTCCTTTCTGGAGTTTCATATCCACTGTAGTCATAAAAGAGAGCAGCATGAACATTCTATGAAACATCTCTTTTTATGTTCATGGTTGATGCATTCCTTTAGAGTCCCCATGAAATCAAAATGTAAGTTTTTTTGGGTGTTAGTATCAATATGTTAGTCTTAAGGTTATCTATAAGGCAGTGTGCTCCAAAACAGTGACAAAATTCGCATTTAGAAGATATAAGCATTCAAAGCTTGCAGTTCGTCACTTCCACCCAAAACGGCTCAATGATTTTTTTGACGTCACATCGTACTTCAGCTTCTCATCAAACTTTCTGTCCAATCAAATGCTCTCTAGAATCTGAAGCGCCCGCTCCCTACACTATAAAATAGTCGCTAAAGCTGCGGCTGAAATCGGTCACTTGTCCACAGAATTAGTATTTTCTGTACAGTGAATGGCACACAAAATGTATTGAATTGAATTCTACACAGAATGCTATATTTTATAGCAATATGGATGAGATTGTGGCTAGCATACCCTGTCAAATGCGGCTTTACAGAGCTCAACGGCTCTGAACGGCTCTAGCCCAAGCTGTGATATAAACGAACGCTATTGGCTATTTTAAAAAGGGGCGGGGCTGCTTGATATGTCCCGCCCTGTCTTCCTGTTTCAGTTAAAATGACATCAACACATAGAGTAACGCTGCGTGTTTCTAAGCATTTCAGGGGACCTTTAAGGTGTAGTTTGTGGAGCAAATCACCTTCCATGGAAGAGCTTTGCCACATAGGTCTTCATGAACGCTCTTATCTCCGTCTCCTCTGCGTCCTCAGCACTGTGACTGGAGCAGGATGAGGACCGTCGCGTACTCGATGGGTGCGATGGGGATTCTGTGTCCTCGTTGTCACTGTCGGCAGATTCGGTGGCATCACTATCTTCGTCTCTGTGGGAAGTGTGTGTGGGGACCATTGGCTCTGGTAGAAGGGGCTCCATCGTGGCATCGCTTGCAGGCTGAGGGACAAGAGGCTCGGATGAGAAAAATCCCACCCCACTGGGAGGTCCAACAACAGAGGGAGCTGTCCCTTCTGGGGGCGAATCAAAGTCTATCAGGTTGTTCACCACGGCCCCCTCCATACTTTGTTATGGGGGTAATTCAGTCACTAGGTGAGATATGATGATGACAGCTAAAAAGAAAAGGGAACCGCTGTTTGTAGCTCCACAATTTTGTCACAGCAGCTGAACCTAAAAAAACAACCATTTTAATTTGTGGTTAAACGTATTGCATTTATTTAAATCAAAGATACGGCAAAAACAGTAATACTGTAATCAACTTAAAATAAATGAAATATTTTAATATCTACTTCATTTCTGTGATACACAGCTGAATTTTAGCAGCCATTTTAATATTCAAATATTTAGAAATCCAAATGCGGCTTTACAGAGCTCAACGGCTCTGAACGGCTCTAGCCCAAGCTGTGATATAAACGAACGCTATTGGCTATTTTAAAAAGGGGCGGGGCTGCTTGATATGTCCCGCCCTGTCTTCCTGTTTCAGTTAAAATGACATCAACACATAGAGTAACGCTGCGTGTTTCTAAGCATTTCAGGGGACCTTTAAGGTGTAGTTTGTGGAGCAAATCACCTTCCATGGAAGAGCTTTGCCACATAGGTCTTCATGAACGCTCTTATCTCCGTCTCCTCTGCGTCCTCAGCACTGTGACTGGAGCAGGATGAGGACCGTCGCGTACTCGATGGGTGCAATGGGGATTCTGTGTCCTCGTTGTCACTGTCGGCAGATTCGGTGGCATCACTATCTTCGTCTCTGTGGGAAGTGTGTGTGGGGACCATTGGCTCTGGTAGAAGGGGCTCCATCGTGGCATCGCTTGCAGGCTGAGGGACAAGAGGCTCGGATGAGAAAAATCCCACCCCACTGGGAGGTCCAACAACAGAGGGAGCTGTCCCTTCTGGGGGCGAATCAAAGTCTATCAGGTTGTTCACCACGGCCCCCTCCATACTTTGTTATGGGGGTAATTCAGTCACTAGGTGAGATATGATGATGACAGCTAAAAAGAAAAGGGAACCGCTGTTTGTAGCTCCACAATTTTGTCACAGCAGCTGAACCTAAAAAAAACAACCATTTTAATTTGTGGTTAAACGTATTGCATTTATTTAAATCAAAGATACGGCAAAAACAGTAATACTGTAATCAACTTAAAATAAATGAAATATTTTAATATCTACTTCATTTCTGTGATACACAGCTGAATTTTAGCAGCCATTTTAATATTCAAATATTTAGAAATCATTCTAATATGCTGATTTGGTGCTAAGAACACATTTCTTATAGTTATTGTTGAAACTAGTTGTTCCCATTAATATTTTTGTGGAAATTGTCTTTTTTTTCAAGATTCTTTGATAACTAGAAAGTTCAGAAGAACAGCATTTATTTCCATTTCATCATTGAAATAGAAATGTTTGATATCATAACTGCATCCTGCAAAAAAATGCTAAATAAAAGGACAAATACTAAAACCTTACTGACCACAAACTTTTGAATGGTAGTATATAATATATAATATTTTTAAATATTTTTGAAATGTATTATATATAATTTTATTATTAGACATATACAACTATTTTATTAATCATAATAAATGTTAATAATTATAATAAACATTCAACATCAAGCATTCAAAACATATTCATGAAGTGCAACATTATGGTTGAGTACTTTTAAATGTTTTGTGGTAAACTTCCTTGCAGCTGTGTTTATACAGACTGACCACAGCATGAAGCAACACAGAGTCTGTCAGAGCCTGTTAATACGATGTTGCATTATGAAATCCATTGCACAGAATCTCAGTGCAAAAGCATGTGTTACTATGAAGCACTGGACATAGTATACAAACTCAATGATGCCATCTGTGTAATGCAGTTAGTGTCTTTCCCTCTCAGACCTCTAGATATCAAATATGGTTGATTTGACATCACGGATACAGTATAATATACACAAGTACTTAATCCTGCCTGTGTGAAAATGTCATCTGCTCCTCATACAATTCTAAAGACGAATGACACATGTGTCCTTCTCAAATGAAAGGCTGTCGCCAGTGGTTTTGTTGGATCAGAGTGTTAAAGGGGCAGTTTGCCCAAAAAAGAAAATTCTGTCATCATTTACTCATTTTGTTCCAAACCTATATGAATTTCTTTGTTCTGCTGAACACAAAATAAGATATTTTGTGGAATGTGGGTTACCAAACAGGTCCCCATAGCATGGGGGAAAAAATAATACTATGGAAGTCAATGGGGTCAAGAAACAGTTTGGTTGCCCACATTCTTCAAAATATCTTCTTTTGTGTTCAGCAGATGAAAGAAAAACTGGTTTGGAACAACATGAAAGGGAGTAAATGATGGCAGAATTTTCATTTTTGAGATAACTATTTTAACCTGCTATTTGCAAACCACTTTACTGTCTTGTCTTGGTATAACTTATTTCGGAATGACATTTTTTTTTTTATTTAAATTTAGAATTTTGGGATTCATTTGACCTATTAGGAACTGGTTGGAAAATTCTTTTTTTTTGTTAAAATTATCCATAAGTGATAACTAGTGTGTACCAACCTAAACATTGCAAGACTACCAGAGCGGCAGCTTCTGTAAATCAAACTGAATGAAAACAAAATTTGAATTCTGCATGCAGAAGAACAATCATTCATGCTATACCTGAATCATTTTTACAAGACTCAAAAAGGCCAGAAATGACCCCCTTAGGCTTTTGACAAAACTCTGAGAAATGCATTAGAACTGAGAGGCCGGTTACATAATGCTGAGCTGGAGGAGCGTGACTTGGCTGGCATACACACCCACAAGTGCACACACACACACACACACACACACAGTGACCAGAGTCAGAGAGAGTGTCAATTGCTCCCGCCTCTTTTCACACTTATCTTTGAGAAGCACAAAGCGGAAATAAACAGCTGTATGTTAGGGTGAGCGTTAAGACCAATACCAAACTCCTACACACGGCTGTCTCTCTGGGAGAGCGTGTTCTCTTGCGCTTTATAAATCTCAGCATTCAAGAGGGTAAATGCACATGCTGCAATATTCCTGCCTCCCTGCACTGGAGCACTGCCCCCTTTTCTACTCCATCCATCCATCCATGCAACAAAATGCCCCTTCATCGTGAGCCTCAGGATCTGCTGTCAGAGTGATGGGACACAGATGAGCTGGTCCACTGGTTTAAGGGACTGAATGGGTTAGGGTTACCAAAGCGGTGCAGTGATATCAGAGTCAGCAGAGCAGAGAGAAAGATAATTACATGTGTGATGAATGTCTCAGGGAGGGAGATATGGGTTGGCTTGTGTGCAAGGTCAAATCAGTCAAAAAACTAGAAAACTGGTAAGCTAGAACAGTGGCTTTCATTTAGTTTTGAGTCAAGGTCCAGATGTTACATTGGAGGTGGCGACCCAACACTACTAAAATTTTTATCACACAAAAAAATACAAAAATATTCATGAAAGCAAACACTGAAATTAAATTAACAATAATAATAATAATATAAAAAACAACCTTTGACAACAAAAGATCTAGGAAGCATTTTCTTCTCCCTTTATAGGGAACAAAATAATTACTAACCATGCAGGATAGTGATATGTTACCAGACAAAAAAAGATCAGATTTCATCTGGATTTAAAAATCATGCAAAAGCTTGCAGAAATCTACATTGGGTGTGAAATGTTTCTGTATTAATGGTGTGAGAGTCTGTCTCTGATGTGAAAATAAGCCCACAGAGAGGTTAATTTGAGGCTGTTTCATTTGCATCATTACGCAACACGTCCTTCTATTTCCTCAAGGGAAACCTCACTCGTATCTGTCACGGTATCAGACGCTGTGAACTTAAGATCCAGCCAATCACATCCTGTACGATCGAACGCACAGGGCTTGATCAGCTAGACGCTCGCTGACTGATAACCGCACACATAACCACATAAACAAAGCCTAAATGGATCAATGCTTCTAACCAGAGAGCATCAGATTCAATAAAAGTCACATAAAATTACTCTTTTCCTGAAACACTGCACAGAACACGCAGACTGAGAATTGCTTCTAACACTGAGCTTTTCATCAATGGCCTGCACTTGAATAGGACAAGAAAAATGATCCTTGGCTTGGCTGGAAACAAGAGCACTCTTATCTCCAGCCACTAGAGTTTAAAAATATGTAGCCATGTTTAAGAGGCCTGCAGTCAAGCCTTGATGCCAGGTTTATCTGACTAATGCTGTTTAATACGACTCAGCAACCAAAATGCAAAGCACAATGGCTTGCCATCACTGGGTTGGGATTATAAAAAACTAAGGAAACAAATGCTTGCATCTAATTAACAATAAATATCATAGCATATAATGTTTAAGCATATCATGATTTAGGCTACAAATGACAGGATAAATACAAGGTTATTGTGGTGAACTAAAACTAAAACCACTATTAAAAAAAGTTTAATTAAAATAAAGCTGAGATCAAATAAAATATAAACATTAGATGAAAACCTTAAAGAAAATGGGAAATGTTGCCTTAGCATAAAATAAAATAAGTTGAAGCACTAAAATTACAAACTAGAAACAAATGAAACTGAACTTAACCTAAAACTGAAATAAAAATAAACCTAAATAGTAATATTTAAAAATGACAAAAACACATGAGAAGACTAAAAACGAAACTAAAATTAAAATTAAAATATAAAAATGGTAAAAAGGTAGCCTGGTTTTAAATAGTAATTATTATTTTTTTAATTATGGTATACAAAAATAACACTGGAAATATACAGGTATTTAGATCATAAGCAAACTAGAATGGGGAAATTTTACTTTTTATTTTACCAGATAATAATAATAATTATTAATAATTTATTTTTCACACCCTGAAAGATATTTTTTTCTACAATGGCTTGTAGATACCTCCAAGTATATATCAAGCACTGATCCAGTCAGAGTCTTTTTTCACAACACACAAAGCAATTATTCACAACACATTCAAATACCGTGTGAGTCAGGTGGCATACCTGCAAATGCAGTCCCAGACAGTAAGCAGAAATAGAAAGCTTAAGAAACTGAGAAGAAACTAGACTCCACGTAGCTGCAGGTAATAACATGGATTTCTCTATTGAAAACATCTCACTTCTGCTCCACTGCTTCAGACCTTTTATTTTACTTGTCTTAAAATAGCACCTGTCAAAATACCATCTTATCAAAAGACAATTCACAGAATCCATCAGAAACCTTTCCTACAGTCACTGGTCCAATTTTTAGCCTCCATAACAAATGCATATTTTTATTAGCAATAATTTAATAACCCAAAATGCATCAGCATCTCTGGTTGCTTGATGAAATAAAATAAGCACAGTCTGGATGTGGGCATTATAGGCACACACTACGAAAATGCTGTCTAGCTCACTAGGTTTTGAGCCATATTCTCAAAGCTCTAATCATTCATACTTTCTTCACACCAGCACTCTGATCAGTTTACTCCTGCTAAATGAAACCTCCCCCTCCACCTTCTTATTGTAAACAACACCGTGCAATCATATGGCACACTTTCATGCGGAAAGAAAGGCGGAAAATGTTGGAAGTACGCGAGTCTCGTTCATTCCGTCGCTAACTGCATTTATGTAACAGCTCGCGCATATATTTAACGTATGCAGCGTAATGAATATCAATAATGATACTTTTTTTTATTGGCACGTCATGTTCATTCGCGCTTCGTACGTAAGAAAATTGCATTATGGACATGACAACACCTATGCTCTAACTGTTAACGTCAAGTCCCCTGATAAAGTGTTGTCAGACGATACTTACCCTGGATGTTCCAGCTGGAGCTTCGTCTTCCCACAGCGCGTGAGAGATGTTCAGGCTGCTCTGAACTAGTCTGAGTGTGCGCATGCGCTACATTATCAGTAGCGGATGGGGGAATCCAGTGACGTAGCCCAGATGACACGTGACTGCACACTGCGTCTTTTTTACTAATCCCTTTCAATGTTGTCAGTTGTAAACACCTTCGCATTCGTTTTTATTTGTATTATTGCACAAAACTTTTAAATAACACAAATGGCGATATGGGATATGTAAATAAATGTTATCAATCAAATGTTTTTATATTTCAATATCTAGCCTATAAAAAGTGTGTAGCCTATGTGTGTAGACACACACACACACACACACACACACACACACACAATATATATAACAACAAAAATTAAATAAAGTTTATATAGCATAAATATAATAAATATTAATATAGGCATATTCTTTATTTATTATTAATGTTATGTTTTAAAAATACATGTATTATAGATATTTACATTAATAATGCATAAAAATGATGTATATTATAAAAAATCTGAAACTCAGTCTGTACTGAAATACAAAATCATTTGATTGATAAGATTTATTATTTATTTACAATGTGTAAATTATGTATTATTTATTGGTAATACTTACTATTTGATATGTAAATAGTCATATAAATGTTACTTTCTAATAAAGCAATCAAATTATTTTTGTTACTATGTTTCGCTATAAAATACAAACAAATAAAGATCAGATTTTGGCTAGATTTGAGAAAAATAGAATAGTTTGCAGAAGTCTTGTAAATCAAGTTGCAAAAGGTTTCATGGGAACAATTTCACCGCATGGAGACATAAAATAATTATTTACACACAGATGAGCAAATTAGATTTTATTTATAGTAGAAGCATCGTGTTTGTTGGTGAAATAACTAATTAGGCTTTGTGGAGTGCTGCAAGCTTTTTAGGTAATTCTTCAGTGAAAAAGAGCAGCTTGTCCATCTTTAGATCCTGTCCCTCAGTTTGCTGCAATCCCAGGTTCATGTATTTATTAGTCTTGTCGTACACAGGCCAGTGCACTAGACTGGGACCATTTGGTGATCTGTGGCAATGAAATAATTATTTAAGGAATAAAGGATCATCATTAATGCTCTGTCCAGCAACTGATGTACCACTTACCCAGTGCGAATAAAGTTCGCCCAGTATCCCATGACGGTTCTGCATAGTTGGTTTTCCTCCTCAGTGAGCGCTTCTGTAGATGATAAAGAGTTGATATCCATAACCACATCACCACTTCATCATTAACATTTTCACTTTTGTTTCAATCATTTGCAGTTTCAAAACCCAGTCATAGTAAATGGTCTAGTATAAATGTCCAGTATCATAATAATTTGCCAGGACAAACAAGTTCTTAGATCTGCATACCCACTTTGATATGGCCATCCCAAAAGCATGCCCCAAACACAAATCCAAGATCATCACCATGGTCAGCTTTCACAAAGCTGGGTCTGAGATCTTTAAATATACTTGGCCGCTGCTGGAACTCATACATATACACAGGCACTCCAGCATCTGTGAAGTTAGGATAATGTAAAATAATAAAGCAAACCAACAATAAAACATCACTGGTGAAATATTGCCAATGAAATTGCAACCAACCTCTGTGGTAAGATGCAACCGTAATGGAGGGAATCACCATAAAAAGATCCCCCACCATCTCAGTAAATGCATCACGAATGTCCTCTGGAGTTTTAGCATTTTTTAGGTATTCTTCTGCTATGATTTCATTGACTCCTGACGTCTACGATGACAGAATGAAGGATTACACACATTCTACCGAGTCTCCTAAATGCTATTTTGTACTTTGTTCACTAAATACTAACAAATTAGTCAGACTAGTCAGTTAATTCAAGTAAATCAATTTGCATTTTATCTCTGTTTTAGTTTCTAAATAACTACAAATGATCTGGAAAGAAAGAAGAGAAGTTGGGTTTTACTCCATCTTTGTTAAAAATGTCCAACAATTGTTTCACTATTTTTGTGTCCATCCCTTTTACCCAGTCTTCTGAGACTAAGGCCTGAAATAAAAAGATGAGCACATGCATTACTATTTAAAAATAGTCATAAAGGTTCATAGACATTTTGTTTAATTTTACCATTCCATACAAAAATGTCCAAAATGTCCGATACTTGCCTGAGGGAGCATCCATCCAAATTCATGGTTTGTTGTTCCAACAAGAATTGGAACTTTATGAAAATCTTTGCTCTTTAGTAACTCCTCTGGTTGAGCTTTAAGAAATTCCCCATCAACTGTTGCTCCAGGGAAAATGTGTTTCTAAGGAAGTCATTTGGTCTAAGAAATTGTTTCATTCTCTTTTCAAGATGTATATTCATTGAGAATATCACCAGTACACTCTTAAAAATAAAGGTGCTTCAAAAGGTTCTTCAAGCGATGTCATAGCAGAACGATTTTTGGTTCCACAAAGAACCATTCAGTCAAAGGTTCTTTAAAGAACCATCTCTTGCTTATCTTTTTATAATCTGATGAACCTTCTTTCACCACAAAGAACCATTTGTAAAACAGAAAGGTTCTTCAGATGTTAAAAGTTCTTTATGGAACCATTTAGACAAAAAGGTTCTTCTATGGCATCGTGAAGCACCTTTATTTTTAAGAGTGTAGATCTTAGAATTGCATTTTTTTTCATGAGCTATATTGAAAAGCATCTCCTTTCAAATGATCTGCTCCTACCTTTTTAGCTGCACCGATGATTTGTTCTTCAGTCAGTTCTTTTACGCATTTGGTCAGCACTTCATTAGAGCTGAAGTCACATTCAGTAACATTTGCTACCACCTGGTCAAACAGTGACAATAATTATCAATTATTATTATCAATATGCATTTTCAAATTAGGCTGAGCTGAAGTGCTTTTCTTGTAAAGCTTTTAAATTCTGATTTAACTTTTTGGGAGGACATTAAAGGGGTCATGAACTGAGAAACCAAAATTCCCTTGATCTTTTCACAAATAGAAGGTCATTGTACTATAAAAACATCCTATAAGTTTCAGAACTCAAAACTTTCTCATTAGTCTAAAAAACAGCTTATATTGAAGGGAGTCTGCCAAAACAACAACTTTTGGAATGTTCTACTCTATGATGATGTAATAGTGTGGATAAGCACCATCTATTGGGAGGACATTAAAGGGGTCATGAACTGAGAAACCAAAATTCCCTTGATCTTTTCACAAATAGAAGGTCATTGTACTATAAAAACATCCTATAAGTTTCAGAACTCAAAACTTTCTCATTAGTCTAAAAAACAGCTTATATTGAAGGGAGTCTGCCAAAACAACAACTTTTGGAATGTTCTACTCTATGATGATGTAATAGTGTGGATAAGCACCATCTATGCAGAAGAAGATCAACGCCTGCTTCTACATCGCTGCCTGTTTAGCCCCGCCCACCGATTCACGCATGTAGTGTTTAGGAGAGAGGCGGACCTGCAGGTCTACGCAGAATAAAACGATAAAAGATGGCTCAAAAGACAACAAGATGCTGTGCAGTGTCAAGTTGTTGCAGACACTTTTATCCACAGCGACTTAGTCTAATGACTTGGTCTAAGTGAAGTCTAACGCAGTACATGTAGCAAGGGTTTTTGACCTGCATGACATATCTACACGATGACCTACATTACATTACAATGTAAAAACTTTAATGTCTCAATTCATCCGCGATGTTTTTGTCTATACCGGCAACTTCAACGCTTTATTTATTTAATAATTTATTTTTTGAATAGCCTGCAATTCATATGTTATCGCCAGGATGCACATCAATGCTGTATCCATTATTATAAGGATACAACAAGCACTGTAACATGACTGATATGCAGACGTTGCATTGTAAATAGCTAATTATTAAGATATACTTCTGTCATGAAAACAAATTCCTCGTATGTGAAAATATACCTACACACAAAAAAAGAAATGGTCATCTTTGTGTTAATATGCCTTGTCCCGACCGTGTGTGTATTTATTTGCTGGACATGGGATTAATTAAAAACCCAGTATAACCCGGGATAACGGATCTATCGGCTATACGGAACCCCGACTGACAGGATTGTTTTTCTTCTTTTTATTTTTATATGGTATAAAAATTATGTCCGTATATTTTAGTAGGCCTATAACTTTTTATACTCTGTCACGTATAGCACAGCGAGTGAGAACGAAAAATTATATTTGATTCATGAACGAATTTTTGACAGAACTATCTAACTATCTTGACTATCAGAGGAAAAAATAAAGACAATAGTTACACCCCATTTTTTTCATAAAGAACAAACAAAATTGTAATTAGCAGAGTTTTATTTCTAAAACGAATCAAACTAATAAAAATAAACATAGCTTACATACCCTTTCATTCAAAACTAAGCCATCGTTGCTTAAATAAAGTTTGAATACACTACTAGTTTAAAATCACAGTATAATATAATCTGTGTAAGCCTATGAAACACACCTATATCTCGTAATTACAGTTGAATTTACATTAAATACTAGCTTTAATGACAGCCCCACTTTGCGCATGCGCATTAAAATCCAATACCTGCGCATGCTCGTCAAACGTCCAATACGTATTGGATCTGAGCCAGCTACGTCATCGTGCTACAGGCTGCAGCATTGTGGAAAGAAATATTCTTTGCATTGCTTTCCTTCTGATCCCACCATTAGGAAAGAGTTGATGAACTTTATTTTTAATCAAGTTCCAGACCGCTTCAGTAAGATTAAGAACTTGGTCCATTGTTCACTTTCAGAAAGATTGAACTATATTGGACCCTACAGTAATGTTGCACCGCACAAGTGTGAGTAACTGTTTTTGTTACCTGATCACTATTGCTTTGTCTGATAAACAAATCGTTTGATATGAGTATTTGTGCATTTTTAACCTAAATCACAGCAGCGTCCAGCTGTGAAGGACGTAGGCTGTCAAACATAGGCTACTCAAGTGTTAGCCAATCATCATGGCAGTGGGCGTTTACTTCTGAGTCTACATTCCGCTATGCCTATTCAAAGAGAGCGTTCTGATGAGGGGGGGTCAAAAACAGGACAGAAAATAGCCTATTGCTTTTAAATTATGATGTTTTTTGATGTAAAAATCTTGATAACATTGGACCTCAGAGAACAGCACAAAATAAAATAAAATTAGACAGTTAAGGGTTTATGTATTAGCCTATGCAATATGCTGGAACCAAATTGCCTTCAGGAAATGAAATAAAGACAAACTGAAGTGAACTGAACTAAATTTAACAAGGCTCTAAAATTCTTGGCATCTGACATAATGCTACAGATTCCCTATAATGAACTATTGAGCAGTACACATTTATTGTTGTATTTGAGCTAAATACCTTGGCAAGCATCAGAGGGTCTTTGACAAAGTAGCCCATCACAGTTGCTACTCCACTCTGAAAGACGGCCCGCTGAAACAGACCCTTGGTCATGGGTGACAATGTCTAGAAGACCATAAGTATACATCTTTAGAACACGCTTGATCCTTGCACTGAATTGCACAGAGAATATATTAATAGATAAGATCTTATGTTGTTTTAACAACTTGTCTTTCAGCTATTCACTTATTATCATATTTCCAGGGGAAGCCTGAAGGGACCACAAGGAACTTACTCTGAACTTATTATGTTTTTTAAAGACTCATCAGAAATCATAAGATTACTTGTTATTAATCATATCAGGCACATAAATAATTAATATGCAACAATAGAGAAAAATAATAAAGATAATGCTGCTTTTAAAAACATTTACTGACCAGAAAAGAGGCACTGATTCCTCCTGCAGACTCCCCAGCTATAGTGACAGACTGGGGGTCTCCTCCAAACCCCTCAATGTTTTGCTGCACCCACTGTAAAGCAGCAATCTGGTCTAGGAAACCCCAGTTACCTTGAGCATTCTTATCTCCTGTGCTAAACCCAGAAGCATGTTTTATTATAACCCATTGCAGAAGCAGCTTACAAGAAATCTGATGTCATTCTCAAGGGACAGACTGCATGAGTAGTGCCCACTTTCTCCACCATAAATGAATACCTGAAGTATCCTAATATTCCAAGTCGGTGCTGAATGACAACCACAACAATGTTCCCATAGGCTGCTAACGGGGATCCGTCAAATGTGCAAGCGCCGCCCATGACCAGAGCACCTCCATGAATCCAGACCATTACCTGTTGGTTCGCATACATTTCTTTTGTCAGAGGGGTTGGGGAAATTATCAATAAAGCAAAATAGAATAAGTTCTACTGTGAATTCGTAAGTCAAAGTGCTGTCCTCTAGTTTAGATGAGAGAAGCCGTTATTCAGTACTCACTGGAAGTTTATCTGATTCTGATCTTTGAGAAGGAGTGTAAACATTCAGATACAGACAGTCCTCTGAGACTCCTGTTGGTGTGAAATCCAACTTCATGGATTTTGCTACTATAGGCAGAATATCTGGGTTTTGAAGGCATCTAGAATACAGCGAGAGAAGGTACATTGTAAAAAATGTTTGTCATTTTGATGGTAAAAGACTGTAAAACTGCTATGTTTAGTATGGCAAAATCCTTTATCATGTACAGTGAAAAACTGTAATAGATCTATAGCGGGACATTACAGTAAATAAAAAAAAAAGTAAAATGCTGTTAAATGTACATATTTTGGAAGTGAAAATTAACAGTCATGTAATTTAAAGTGAAAAAAATGTAAATAGACATGTATGCACCTTGTACTGTAGTAGTATATACCTCAGCATGCGGAAAGGCTCATTTTGGAATTTAGCACAGATATTTTGCATAAATTACAGTTACTTTTCTGAATATAGCCATATACTCACATAGATGGGTGCTGGGTGGCATTTCTTATGCCCTCCCATCCCTGTACAGGACCAGGTGCAGCCAGGCGGAGGGGGCCAACAGGTGGCTGGGCAAAAGGAATACCCAAATACTGCTCCACCAGCTTTTCTGAGCCTTTAACTTTCATATTTTGCCCACGGACACTGCCATGCTTCAGAACAACCACCGGCCCAGAGTCTGTACAAATACAAACCAATCTGACATTAACACACATTCTTTAATACATATTATTATTTTATTTTCCTGTCAAATAACAGTACTCCTTCAAAAATTACTAAAATAGGTAATTAAGTAAAATATTATTTCACTGTATAATGTTCAATATTATTTAAAAAGCAATATAATACTTGCCTGTCTGTACAGGGGCTGTCCAAACAGGTGCCAGGGTCAAGCACAGGCAGAGCAAAACTTCTTTTATCATAGTTGTTATTTCGTTAAAGACTGATACAGACTCAAGCCTCTCATGTAATGAAGAGCTCACAAAATCAACCACTCACACAGGCTCAATAACAAAACACTGGCCTTTAACCTGATCCTATACTTTACCCCCTTAAAAAACAGAGCAGCTGTTTCATGTGTACAAAGTGTAATCTCTGTACGGCAGACCGAGGAGACAAAAATCCATTCGTGTATAAATAATCATAATTAGTTTAGAATTTGATCTTTGTATCTCTGTGGTCTGTACTGACATGTTTTAAAATCTTACATTTATTGGTGATCAAACATATCAAATAAAACAAAATATCAAAGAAAAGTCATACATTTTTTATTCTCAGCCATTCTCCCATATGGATCATTTAAATTGCCACCACAGTAAATTCTTCTGTCAAAGCAGTTCATGCTGTACCCAGTGATAAAGTGTGTGCTAATGCAGATGGTGAAAGCGTGTCACAGAGGCTCAGATTCTTCACAGGTAGGTTAATAATTCATGCCTTATGTCGGTTTTATTGAACAAAGCTACCAGGAAAGCTTGAAGGTTACAAAGCTGAGAAGTTAAAAGTTGTACCAATGACACTCACTTAGTAGTTGATTTGTTTGACTAGCTGTTGTGACATAGCGGTTATCACCCTCAACTCAATATTTGATCTGCTGGACCATTTGGTGATCTGTGGCAATGAAATAATTATTTAAGGAATATAGGATCATCATTAATGCTCTGTCCAGCAACTGGTGTTACCCAATGCGAATAGAGTTCGCCCAGTATCCCATGACGGTTCTGTATAGTATCATCCAGTATCATCACCATGGTCAGCTTTCACAAAGCTGGGTCCGAGATCTTGGTATACACTTAGCGGGTGCTGGAATTCATACATATATACACAGGCACTCCAGTATCTGTGAAGTTATAACATGAAATATGGAAATAATAAAGCAAACCAACAGAAAAACATCACTGAAGGTGAAATATTGCCAATGAAATTGCAATCAACCTCTGTGGTATAATGCAACCGTAATGGAGGGAATCATCATAAAAAGACCCCCCAGCATCTCAGTAAATGCATCACGAATGTCCTCTGGAGTTTTAGCATTTTTTAGGTATTCTTCTGCTATGATTTCATTGACTCCTGACGTCTACGATGACAGAATGAAGGATTACACACATTCTACCGAGTCTCCTAAATGCTATTTTGTACTTTGTTCACTAGAGGGAGACAAATACTAACAGATTATCCATATTGCGTTCAAAAATGTATTTGCATTTGATCTCTGTTTTAGTTTCTAAATCACTACATATAGTCTGGAAAGAAAGTAGGAGAGAAGTTGAGTTTTACTCCATCTTTGTTAAAAATGTCCAAAAATATATTTCATAGAAGGTGGGACCCATTTTTAATATATATGGGCTTAGATATATCATCTATTCTTATTAGAGGGTTTGTTTAATGAGGTTTAAATATGTGGGAGTACAAATGTGTAAGGCATATTGTTGGTACGATTATGTCAATATTTCATTTCATTCTCAAATTGATTTAATGGAGTGGTGAGCCATAAATTATTTTTAGTTTTTTTTTTTTTTTCTTCTTGTTCGATTTTGTTATGTTTGTAATGTTTGAAAATTAATAAATATATATATTTTTTTTTTAAAAATGTCCAAAAATATTTTTTTTTGTTTTTGTGTCATCCCTTTTACCCATTCTTCTGGGGCTAAGGACTGAAAAAGAAGAGCACATGCATAACTATTTAAAAATAGTAATAAAGGTTCGTAGACCTTTTACCATTCCATACAAAAATGTCAGATACTTGCCTGATCCATCCAAATTCATGGTTTGTTATTCCAATGTTTTATATATATATATATATATAAAACTTTACAATATAACATTTCTGTAATCTATATAACCTACCAGTCAACAGTTTTTGAACAGTAAGATTTTTAATGTTTTATAAAGAAGTCTCTTCTGCTCACCAAGCCTGCATTTATTTGATCCAAAGTACAGCAAAAACAGTAATGTTGTGAAATATTTTTACTATTTAAAATAACTGCTTTCTATTTGAATATATTTTTAAATGATTGCTGTGATCAAAGCTGAATTTTCAGCATCATTACTCCAGTCTTCAGTGTCACATCCTTCAGAAAGCATTCTAATATGCTGATTTGCTGCTCAAGAAACCTTTTTAAAATTATTATTATTATTATTATTATTAATGTTTTTTGAGCAGCAAATCAGAATATCAGAATGATTTCTGAAGGATCGTGTGACTGGAGTAATGATGCAAAAAATTTAGCTTTGAAATCACTATAAATTATATTTTACAATATATTCAAATAGAAAACAGTTATTTGAAATAGCCTAGTAAAAATATTTCAAAATTGTACTGTTTTGCTGTACTTTGGATCAAATAAATGCAGGCTTGGTGAACAGAAGAGACTTCTTTAAAAAAACATTAAAAATCTTACTGTTCAAAAACTTTTGACTGGTAGTGTATAGTCAACTTTAATTTTTCTCTAATTTCTAGCTTTTAATTGGCTTAGAAATCAGATAACTGCTGGACAAAAACCAGAGAAGAAAAAAAATCACCCACTGACTTTCAAAGCTGCTAACGACTTTCTACTTTGAGGATCTTGATAGAAATGTAGTGGAGTGAAAAGTACAATATTTGTCTTTCAAATGTAGTGAAGTTAAAGTCATAAGTTTCCAGAAAAAATAATACTCAAGTAAAGTACAGATACTCAAAAAGTGTACTTAAGTACAATATTCAAGTAAATGTACTTACTGTCCGGCTTTGTCAATAACCAATAATAATGATTTGTTTATATACTACAAACACTTTTTTATCACATAATAAGGCAGAATAGTTTCAATACTGTAATAAATGCTATGTCAGTTAGCACTGCATTGTTCATATACTTTATTTATTACCTGGAGATTACTTGACAAACACAAATAAACCATATTGTCGCAATCGTATGTTTAATATCTTCATGTTTCCAAGCCTTTCTGTTTTTCTGAAAACAACTGTTTTCGTACAGCGAGAGCTGGACGCTTTTGTCCATATTAGGAATTTCCTCATACGACTTTCTGCGCGAGAGGCCCTCCGGCTACGAGTGTGAATGAAACATACACTGCACTGAGTGTTTAGCGCTCTGCGATGTTCATCTCGCCTTATTCTGGGTCCGAATAAAACATCAGATCATGCACAGACTATCCTGTCTCTTTGAATTTAATTCTATATTTATTCACACGGCTCTTGAAAACCTCTATGCGAACACACTTGCCCGAAAAAGTGACGAATTTACGTGATATTAAAAGTGGGGGGGACACGTCCCCCACGTCCCCTGCGTAATCTATGCCCCTGGTGCATTCTCTCTTCAAGCTGTATATTTATAGAGAATATCACCAATAGATCTTAGCATTTCATTTTTTCATGAACTATTGAAAAGCATCTAATTTAAAATTCTTTGCTCTTACCTTTTTAGCTGCATCAATGATTTGTTCCTCAGTCAGTTCTTTTCATTTGGTCAGCACTTCATTAGAACTGAAGTCACATTTAGTAACATTTGCTACCTCCTGGTCAACCAGATCACAGTCAGCTTTTTCTAAACAATTACAATAATTATCTTACATGAGGTACATATTTTTCTTTTTGTAAAGCTTTTTAAATTTTTTAAATTTATTTTGTGAAGAAGCCTCTAAAATTCTTGACATCCAACATAATTCTACAGATTCCCTTAGAGGGATAGTTCACCCGAAAATGAAAATTCTGTCATGAATTACTCGCCCTCATGTCTTTCCAAACCTGTAAGACCTTCTTTCATCTTTGGGAACACAAATTAAGATCTTTTTGATGAGATCCGAAAGCTTCTGGCCCTCCATAGACAGCAATGCAGCTGAAATGTTCCCAGACCCAGAAACATTATGAGGAGATTGTTAAAATAATCCATGTGACATCAGTGGTTCATCCATAATTTTATGGTACCACAAGAGTACCACAATGCATGTGCATTCCTCTGCTCGTAAACAAGGCGCAGCACATGCGAATGTTCCCAGACCCAGAAACATTATGAGGAGATTGTTAAAATAATCCATGTGACATCAGTGGTTCATCCATAATTTTATGGTACCACAAGAGTACCACAATGCATGTGCATTCCTCTGCTCGTAAACAAGGCGCAGCCTTGTTCTACGTCAGCAGCACCACACGTATTCGTCGTGGTACTCTCCACAATGGCCGCAGCTGGTGCGCGGGGGAGAAGAATCGTGAATAAAGTCGTTATTTTTTGTTTTCTTTGTGCTCAAAAAGTATTCTCGTAGCTTCGTAAAATTACGGTTGAACCACTGATGTCACGTGGACTATTTTACCGATGTCCTTATTACGTTTTGGTGTCTGGGAACATTTCAGCTGCGTTGCTGTCTACAGAGGGTCAGAAAGCTCTTGGATTTCATCCAAAATATCTTAATTTGTGTTCCGAAGATGAACAAAGGTCTTACGGGTTTGGAATGATGTGATGTGAGGGTGAGTAATTAATGACTTTTTAAAAATTTTTTGAGTTGAACTATCCCTTTTACCCTTGTGCCACCTTTTGGACATTTTTGTCCTTTTCAGTTTAGTTTTTTTTTAATCATTTTGCCTGTGTTATTGCCAACTGCATACATTTTGGCACAGGTGTGTATTTTTATTGGAATTTTACTATTTCACTTCCATTTCCTTTAATTTTTTAGATGTTTTGCACTAGGTACAACAAATTGTTCGTCTCAGGACCTTAAGGACAAAAATGTCCCCATTGAAACCCATTAAAACTGCTATTTTTAATCGCAGTGCCATTTAACTATAAAATTGTGCAATTTTTGTTGATAGGCTTTCATTATATTGGCATGGCTTTCAAATTTAATTTTTTACTATTTTTTTACCAGATGGTGACATTTTTTCAGGTTTGACTTATAAAGAAAATACTTTATGCATATAATATGCTTATGCACATTATAGAGCCAATTGGATAAATAATACAGCTATAATTGTGTGGGTGTGTTGGTATGGATGTTAGATTGTGGTTTGTATGTGTCATAAAAAGAAAAATTGTGTGTGTGTGTGTTCTTGTAATATTTGAGAGAGAAAAACTCTACTGCAAATCACAAATCCAACAACTGTGTGCACCAGCAGAGTTTTGCATCTAAAGCTAAAATTTGGTACTGCACCCAAACAAAATCTTACTGAAAGCTCATTTTTTGAGATATCAACCTCAAATTTGGAATACAATTTGTTTAGATTTATGGCTTTGATTTTCTAGGTACAGAGTTCAACATGTTTCATAAAATATATATTTTATATAAAACATCGTTCATAAATCATTTTCATAAACGTAAACATGTAGAACTTTTTTTTTGGTTTCACTTTTTAAACTTTTTTTACTTCAACAATAATCTGCCATGGGTCTTCTTTAAAATGAGACCAAACTTAACTCTGTGCTCCCAAGCTTCAAATTTTATGACAGTTTTTTGACATGGACATTTTTGTCCACTATGGACCTATGTGTAACTTTTTTTAATTGACGCACAAGGGTTAAGGAACTATTGAGCAGTACACATTTATTGTTGTATTTGAGCTAAATACCTTGGCAAACATCAGAGGCTCTTTGACAGAGTAGCCCATCACAGTTGCTACTCCACTCTGAAAGACGGCCCGCTGAAACAGACCCTTGGTCATGGGTGACAATGTCTAGAAGACCATAAGTATACATCTTTAGAACACATTTAACCTTTGCTCTGAATTGCACAGAGAATATATTAATAGATAAGATCTTATGTTGTTTTAACAACTTGTCTTTCAGCTATTCACTTATTATCATATTTCCAGGGGAAGCCCGAAGGGACCACAAGAAACTTACTCGGAACTTATTATGTTTTTTAAAGACTCATCAGAAATCATAAGATTGATCACAATTAATATCAGCACATAAATAAAGAATAGGCAACAATAGAGAAAGATAATAAAGATAATGCTGAATTACAAACATTTTCTGACCAGAAAAGAGGCACTAATTCCTCCTGCAGACTCCTCAGCTATAGTAACAGA